GCTTGTTCTCCATCCCCTCAACGGCGTCGTTCCCCATTGCCCCTGCCACACCGCCATACTTCGCCGCCAAACTTTCCATCGCACCTGATGAAAAACTAGACCGTGCAGCTCCTGGAGGTAGTGCTGAATCATCTCCGTCTGAACCAAACCCTCCATTGACTAAGGTTGCACGGTGGGCTCATTGGTTATTCATGTTGTTCGAGGTATAGCGTATCCAGGGCGGGAAAGAGAAGACACAGAACACATAGACGGCGCATTGACGCTTCCTACGAACAAGAGTCTTATGGATGTGCACGTGAACTGTATTTATTTGACGGCGCTAGTCGATACTGGTGCTCACGTGTCCGTAATCAGTGTTCATCTTCGTCGCCACTTAAGAAAAGTACTCACACCTCCTGCTACAGAAGCTGTACGTGTCGTCTATGATGGAACTGTTCCCATCATTGAAATGTGTATGGCTCGCATAAGCATCGCCGACCGCTAAGTTCCTGTCCTATTCACGGTGCTCAATAACTGTCCTCATGACCTCATCTAAGGAATGGACTTCCTGTTGACCCATTCTGTTCTGATAGACTGTTCCACTGGTACTCTTTACTTGAACCTTTCTCTTCAGCCGGATATTCAACCTGAACCTCAACATGGCCTCTGTGCCACAGATTGTCTCCGCTTACCGCCTAAAACCCTCCCATTCGCCAAATTCTCCACGCCCTCACCCGTTTTGGATAGGGATTACATCGTCATGCCGATTTCTGATGTCCTACTGGCCTGTGACGTCACCGTCCCTCACTGCGTCGTAACTATAGCCGCAAACCGGATACATATACCCGTCATAAATTTCGGCTTCACTAATAAGTTCTCCCTGAAGCCATCGTAATCACCACATTGGCGTACTTAGCCAATGACCACGTCATGACTTTCGCAGCTGACGTTTGCACCCATCTTCTTAGTCGCCCACCCAATGCCACACGCCTCGACATGTCAGTACATCCCATGATCGCTCCTGACCTCCCCCAGCACAATCAGCTACCCTCAGCCACTTTGTAGCTTCCTACCGCGACATCTTCGACATTGACGGTCGACCACTCGGCCAAACTTCTTTTGTCCAGCACCGCATCAACACAGGTAATGCTGCTCCCATTCATCGTAGACCATATCGCGTGTCCGCATCGGAGCGCCAGGTTATTGAATCAAGCCGAAGTGAAGAAGATGTTAACTAAAGGCATTATCGAGTCCTCATCAAGCTCTTGGGCGTAACCCATTGTCCTGGTTAAAAAGAAAGACAACACATGGCACTTCTGCATCAATTACCGGCATTTAAATTGAATTACGAAAAAGGATGTGTATCCTTTGCCCGGTATTGATGACGTTCTCGATTATCTCCATGACGCACGCTACTTTTCATCCATGGACCTTCGCTCTGGTTATTGGCAGATTGGAGTGGACGAGAAAAACCAAGAAAAGACCGCCTTCGTCACTCCCGATGGCCTGTACCAATTCAAGATTATGCCCTTCGGTCTATGCAACGCCCCAGCCACGTTTGAACGTATGATGGACTCTCTGCTACACCGGTTGAAATGGTCAACATGCTTGTATTACTTAGACGACTTCCTCATATTTTCACCTACATCTGAGACCCATCTTGAGCGTCTGTCAGCCATTCTCGACGTCTTCCCCGATGCTGGCCTCCAGTTGAACTCCTCGAAGTGTCACTTCGGCCGCCAACGTATTACAGTGTTGGGCCACCTTGTCGATGCTTCTGGTGTGCGGCCGGGCCCTGAGAAAATTTGTGCCGTCACGGGTTTCCCAGTACCCCAATCCGCCAAAGTTGTCCGGAGCTTTGTGGGACTTTGTTCTTACTTCAGGTGGTTCGTAAAAGACTTTGCAGCAATCGCCCAATCACTTACCAATTTTCTGAAGAAAGGCGTCCCATTTTTGTGGGGGTCCACTCAAGCCGCTGCCTTCTCTCGCCCTATCACACTTTTGAGGATGCCCCTATCCTGGCCCACTTTGCCCCATCCACCCAAACTAAGGTCCGAATGGATGCCAGTGGTCACGGTATCGGAGCTGTTCTCGCCCAATGGCAACAGGAACATGACCGCATTATCGCATATGCTAGCCGCCTCCTTACGCCTGCAGAGCCCAACTATTCGATCACGGAGCGAGAATGCCTTGCTCTTGTCTAGGTGGCCTCGAAGTTCCATTCATATTTATATGGCACTCACTTCTCCGTCATCACCGACCATCACGCGCTCTGCTGGCTTTCATTCTTGAGCGATCCCACAGGTAGACTTGGTCACTGGGCTGTGCGACTGCAATAATACACCTTCACTGTGACATACAAGTCTGGACGCCTGCATCAGGACGCCGATTGCCTTTCTCACTATCCAGTTGGCGAATCAGCTGCCGTACCTGACAACGACGCCTCGCCTGCGTGTGCTCAGTTTTAACTGACCCACATAGCCGACGAGCAACGCCCTGATGCAGCCTTACGGGCTATCATCAAGCACCTTGACTCCTCTCCGTTGAACCGATCCCATCACTAATTCGTACTACAGAATGGTACATTACACCAGCATAACTTCCATCCTGATGGCCCATCTGTGCTGCTTGCTATACCCAAATACTTCTGCTCGGCTGTACTCCACGAACTTCACGACGTTTCTACTGCTGGCCACATCGGCGTGTCCCGCACATACGACTGGATTCGCCGCCACTTCTATTGGCCAGGACTCGCTCGCTCCGTTAGAAGATACGTTGCAGCGTGTGAGGTATGTCAGCGCCGCAAAACACCCTCGACGCTTCCTGCTGGGTGCCTTCAACCACTCGACATTCCTTCTGAACTTTCTTTCGCCTCGGCTTGAAGTTACTCAGCCCTTTTCACCTGTCTTTTGCTGACAATAGGTGGATAGCTGTGGCCATTGACTACGCCACATGCTATACCATCACACGCATCTTTACAACAAGTTGCGTCACAGACGTCGCCAGTTTTCTTCTACACGACGTGATCTTGCAACATGGTGCTTCACCCCAGCTGCTCATGAACCGAGGTCGCACATTTCTATCGGGGGTCATAGCGGACATCCTACGCTTGTATGCGATGTGCTACAACCTCACTACACCGTACCATCCACAAACAAATGACCTCACGGAGCGTCTGAACCGAACCCTAACCGACATGCTTTCAAAGTATGTGTCCTCAGACAACTCTGACTAGGACCTCGCTCTACCATATGTGACATTTGCATACAATTCATTGCGCCATGGCACAGCTGGTTACTTCCCACTTTTCCTATTGTTCGGCCGCGAACCCAGATTGTCCCTCGATACAGTCATTCCATTACCAGCAGCTCCGACCACAGAATATGCCCCCGACGCCATCAGCCCACGCACGCGAAGCCGCTCGTGCTCGCTTTCTGACCTCGGAGGAAAACCAACGGCGTCGGTATGATCAACGACACTGCGATGTGCACATTTTCCCCCGGTTCGTTGGTTCCGCCATGGTCTCCGATCAGGCACGTTGACCTGTCTGAGAAACTTCTCTCTCCATACACAGGGCCATACAGAGTGCTTCGTGCGGTGACTCCCGTCACTTATGAAATCGCTCCTACTGCCTCGTTGTCCACCCCTCGCGCCAGCGACATCGTACACGCCACACACCTGAAGCAGTACCACTCGCCCAATGACATTGACGTCTAGATGCGCCGAGATGGCGCCTTTGCCAACGGAGGTTCTGATACATGTAGGCTGCTGCAATGCAATTTGTGAATGCGGGTGTGTGCCCGACGAAGAGGATGAAGATCGCTTCCTGCTAGAACTCGGAGCCAGACAGGCCAGCGTTGCAACCACTTTTGCAAATATATTTCAAAAATATATTTGCAATATATTGACCGTTACTCACGTAACAATATGTACCACGCTAATACAAGCCAAGCTCCCATAGTAACAACAACAAGCAACAAAAGTTACAGTAGTGTTGCCTATTGTATCATTGGATATAAAAATTTTGAACAGTTTACCATATTTTTTGTGCGAACATCAATGCACAAGATAGACTCATGTTAATACTTCAACATACTTCAAAGCAGGCGCTTCATGACAACATACGAGGATCTTTTAACATGAAATCGTTTTATGCCGGGGTCCACCACCGCTCTGCTGATGTACTTCCATCACAGAAGTGACGTTGAAAAATATATACTAAAAAATTGCAGAGGAAAAGAAACTGTGTGCAAGCATTTCTTGCGCGGAATCGAACAAGCACGCGGCATTAGCAACTACGCCATGGAGCGTGCGTTGTCAGGATTGCTAATGGCAAGCCCTCTATATACACCATACACCATTTCGCAGTCCTCAGAGCTTCGAAACTTCAATGCGTTTTTGTTATCAGTGTCGAGATGGCGTGATGCGCTACAGCGTAGGTCTTTCCTGCGTGCAGGCTTATCAAATTCGATAATGGGGAGAGGACGAAGCTCACTATGCTGCCGTGGCCACTTTAGAAAAGGAGCGTGCTGCTGACGCACGTCGCAGGAAGAATTGTGACAGTTGTTAGCACTTCTCCTGTGTATACTTTTGCACTCATTTCACCCGTCTTTCTTTCAGTTTGAACAGCGCGGTTTAAGAGTCGAGCTATGACAGTTGTTAGTCCGCCTTTATGCTCATTCCGTGCGTGCTTTCTGCTTGAATTGTGCGCTGAAAGTTTTGAGCTGCTTGCCCCTCTTAGCGTGACTGAAATTTGTTACTTTTGCTGAAAAAATGCCCAATAAACACTTCACAATGTCTGTAAAGACATGTCTAACTTTTGTGTAAATGATTTCTTATTGGGGGATCAGCTACGTTTTTTCTCACTGGGAATGGCTGTTTAAAAGCCTGCCATTCTTTCTAAACAATATTATTTGCCATTTCCTTCAAGTTCGGCCTATACTGGCGCAATTTTACTGGCAGTACGCTCCTTCATTTCGATATATTTGCGACCTTACTGCTAGCCAGAAGTGGGAACTCACCTGCAGGGCAGCCAGTATCTGCTGGTGGGGAGGAGGCAAAGTCCTGCAATAAGTGGCTCTCAGAAGGGCTCAGGGGACTCATTTGTAGATGAGGAGAATGGGAACACAAAGAAGCTTCAGCATCCACACCCGTCGTCGCTGCCTCCAGCTCAGCCATGTCTTCCAGGGTGAGAGACCTATGCCAGTGTTGTCAGTAATCGAACGGCACACTCAAACTTTGTCAATGAGGCATTCGATGATTAGAATGAAGATCACACACCAACAGGCAGACACAGCCAAACATGAACACATGGCATGTAGGTGTATCGATTATAAGCAATAAAATAAATAGTCTTGCAATTCATGCATTTGTGAAGAATTTTTGCATACATAGAACATTTCGTATAGAAACAGGGTGCAGTTCTATCTTCTGTGAGCCTTTTCTCGTGCGATGAGCTGCTTTCCGGCTTCGGTGACTAGTGTTCACAAATCAGCCTTCCCCTGAGTTACTCAGCAATGCAGTGTCATCGGCAAAGCACAGGTTACTAAGGTACTCTCCAATAACTCTTATCCCTAAGTCTTTCCACTCTAGGCCTTTGAAAACCTCTTGTAAGCACGCAGTAAACAGCATTGATGAGAATCTATCCCCCTGCCTTACACCCTTTTTGATTGGCATTTAGTTGCTTTTTTTATGGGGCACTATGGTGGCAGTTGATTCCCTGTAGATTTCATCCAAGATGTTTATATATGCTTATGTATATATATATATATATATATATATATATATATATATATATATATATGCACAGGATTGTGTTGACTGGCGGAACATGGGAGAGGCCTTTGTACTGCAGTGGATGTCTAGTCATGCTGATGATCATGACCATGATGATGATGAATCAGCCTTCGAAAAAAATGACTAACTCTCAATATAACTATTAGGACTTGCTGATGGGCTAGTTGGTGCATGTCCTGATTAAATAGTCAACGTCACGCCGAATGAACAACCACATAGAGAAAGAACCACACATAGGCACGACGGGCCCTCACTTACAACTTTACTCCTTGAGAAAACAGGCTAATAAAAGCCCACTCTTCTTCAACACATGCGCTACATGATCAGCCCTTCTCTTACTTAATCACGCTATCGAACACATGCTTTCTAGATAACGAGTTTCTGACTCGTACAGGTTTAGTGACGTTTCGCTAACACACTTATTACCCCGTTTCCTTCTGTGATATGCCTCCAAAATTTCCCGTGCTAACTTGTTTGTACTTCTCCCTAGGATCCTAGTCTGTGTGAAGTCTGTTGTGCATTCATAAGCTGTAACATGCGTGCTTAGATGTGCACTGTCCTTATTCTTTACGGTAAGAGTGTGTTTTCTCGCTCGATCATTGACACAGCACCCCGTGTTGCCAACATAGCTATTCCCGTCCAATAGGGGAATTTCATAAGCCACTCCAGTGGCGCACTGCGTGAACAGCCACGCATGCCTCTTTTTGCAGCCTTGAGCATGACTTCCATCGGTGCGAGGGCACAACTTCGCCAGTTTGTTTGGGGCGGTGAACAGCAGCGGTACACCATGCCGACTCGCCACCTTTTCTAGGTTGAGTGAAACCTTATGAATATAAGGCACCACCTCCGGCCATTTTTCATCCTTCCGTACTTCAGCCGGGCCTCTTTTTTTACCATCTGCAGAAGGAATTCTAGAACCGCATACAAAATCGAGCGAGGGAATCCGGCGACCTTCAAACAGTCTAATTGTGCATTAAAACTAGACCTCATGAGATGCGGACACGACTTCTGAAGTGCGGACCCCAGGGAAAGCGTTGCGATGCCCCTCTTCATGATCTTCAAGTTGGCTGAACCAAAGAGTAAAAAGAGTAAAAGTTCCAGGATAACCATAACTCCAGGATAACCATAATACGTATTGGTTTTGCCTTCTCAGACGAGATTGAGGATTTATTTTATTATGTGCCGCATGATGCTCTCTTTTAGGCAGTGATGACCTGTACTGGAGCGGCGATGGCGTAGTGGTTAGAGCATCCGCCTCGCATGCAAGAGGTCCGTGGTTCAAATCCTAGTACCGCGCAGTTCCAAACCGGATTAAAATAAAAAAAATCCGCGTGTTGATGAACTGTATTAAGAGGCCTGGGGTGCGACCTCACCGGCAAACACCGCCGAGAACGCACTCCCTCACCAGAGAAGGATTGGCCACCCTGGTGCAGTATCTGGCCACTACCTCCCACATGCTTACTTCAAATAACTCACGGCCCTCAGTCCCCAGCAGCTGCGAAGCAACTAACCACGGCGGCGGTCAGATCTGCAACGCTGCAGAGCGTGCTAAGAATCTCTGGATCCGGACAGGACGCCATTGGAACCTGAACTTGGCAACGTTTAGCGCTAGAACCTTATCTAGTGAGGGAAGTCTAGCTGTACTATTCGAGGAGCTAGAGGGTGTTAAATGGGATATAATAGGGCTCAGTGAGGCTAGGAGGACAGATGAGGCCTATACGGTGCTACAGAATGGGCACGTCCTTTGCTACAGGGGCTTGGCAGACAGAAGAGAACCGGGAGTGGGGTTTCTAATTCACAGAAACATAGCTGGCAACATAGAGGAATACTATAGCATTAATGAAAGGGTGGTAGGTATCGTAATTAAACTGAATAAAAGATACAAAATGAAAGTAGTACAGGCTTACGCGCCTACATCTAGCCATGACGACGCTTCAGTTGAAAGCTTCTATGAAGACGTGGAATCGGCAATGAGTAAGGTAAAAACACAGTATACTATAGTGATGGGCGACTTTAATGCAAAGGTAGGGAAGAAGCAGGCTGGAGACCAGGCAGTAGGAGATTATGGCATCGGAACTAGAAACGCCAGAGGAGAGCTACTAGTAGAATTCGCAGAACGCAATAATTTACGGATTTTGAATACCTTCTACCGAAAACGAGAAAACCGCAAGTGGACATGGAGGAGCCCTAATGGCGAAAATAAGAACGAAATAGACTTTATAATGAGTGCACACCCTGGAATCGTGCAGGATGTGGAAGTGATTGGCAAGGTACGATGCAGTGACCATAGAATGGTACGGTCTCGAATTCGCCTAGACTTGAAGAAGGAACGACAGAAACTGATACGCAAGAAGCCAATCAATCAGCTAGCATTGAGAGGGAAAGTACAGGAATTCAGAGTGTCGCTGCAGAACAGATACTCGGCTCTTAGTGAGGAAACCAACCTTAGCGTAGATACAATGAATGATAATCTGACTGAACATTATTACGGAGTGTGCAGTGGAAGTTGGAGGCAGGGTAGTTAGACAGGACACTGGCAAGCTTTCCCAGGAAACGAAGAACCTAATTAAGAAGCGTCAAATCATGAAAGTGTCAAGTACAACAGACAAAATAGAACTGGCAGAGCTTTCGAAGTTGATTAATAGACGTAAGGTATGCGATGTAAGAAGGTATAACATGGAGAGAATTGAACACGCTCTGAAAAACGGAGGAAGTGTCAAAGCATTCAAGAGGAAACTTGGGATAGGCAAAAGTCGGATGTATGCACTAAGGGACAAAGAAGGCAAAATAACTACCAATATGGATAGGATAGTTAAAATAGCGGAGGAGTTTTACAGAGATCGGTACAGTAGCCGAGACAACCACGACCTTAATACTATAAGAACTAGCAGTAACCCAGATTACACCCCACCAGTAATGATAGAAGAAGTCAGAAAAGCTTTGGAGAGCATGCAAAAGGGCAAAGCTGCTGGTGAGGATCAGGTAACATCAGATCTGCTGAAAGATGGAGGACAGATTGTGTTAGAAAAACTAGCCACCCTGTTTACGAGGTGTCTCCTGACGGGAAGAGTACCAGAGTCTTGGAAGAACGCTAACATCATCTTAATACATAAGAAAGGAGATGACAAGGACTTGAAGAATTACAGGCCGATCAGCTTGCTCTCTGTAGTATACAAGCTATTTACAAAGGTAATTGCTAACAGAGTAAAAAAAACATTAGAATTCAATCAACCAAAGGAACAAGCAGGATTTCGAACAGGCTACTCAACAATTGACCACATTCATACTATCAATCAGGTAATAGAGAAATGCTCAGAGTATAACCAACCACTATACATAGCCTTCATAGATTACGAGAAGGCGTTTGATTCACTAGAAATATCAGCCGTCACGCAAACGCTGCGGAATCAGGGCGTAGATGAAGTATATATAAACATTCTGGAAGAAATCTACAGGGGATCAACTGCTACCATAGTGCTTCATAAAGAAAGCAACAGAATACCAACCAAGAAGGGTGTAAGGCAGGGGGACACAATTTCCCCATACTATTTACCGCGTGCTTCCAGGAGGTTTTCAGAAGCCTAGAATGGGAACAGTTAGGGATAAGAGTCAATGGAGAATACCTTAGTAACCTGCGCTTCGCCGATGACATTGCATTGCTGAGTAACTCGGGGGACGAATTGCAACTCATGATTACGGAGTTAGACAAGGAGAGCAGAAAGGTGGGTCTTAAAATGAATCTGCAGAAAACGAAAGTAATGTACAACAACCTCGGCAAGGAGCAGCGCTTCGAGATAGGTAATAGTGCACTTGAAGTTGTAAAAGACTATGTCTACTTAGGACAGGTAATAACCGCAGAGCCGAACCACGAGATTGAAGTAACTAGAAGAATAAGAATGGGGTGGAGCACATTCGGCAAGCACTCTCAAATTATGACAGGTAGATTGCCACTATCCCTCAAGAGGAAGGTATATAACAGCTGTATCTTACCAGTACTTAGCTACGGAGCAGAAACCTGGAGACTTACAAAGAGGGTTCAGCTTAAATTAAGGACGACGCAGCGAGCAATGGAAAGAAAAATGGTAGGTGTAACCTTAAGAGACAAGAACAGAGCAGAGTGGATTAGGGAACAAACGGGGGTTAAGGATATCATAGCTGAAATCAAGAAGAAGAAATGGACATGGGCAGGGCATGTAGCACGTAGACAGGATAACCGCTGGTCGTTAAGGGTAACTGACTGGATTCCCAAAGAAGGGAAGCGGGTTAGGGGGAGACAAAAGGTTAGGTGGGCAGATGAGATTAAGAAGTTTGCGGGTATAAATTGGCAGCAGCAAGCACAGGACCGGGTTAACTGGCGGAACATGGGAGAGGCCTTTGTCCTGCAGTGGACATAGTCAGGCTGATGATGATGATGATGACCTGTATTGATGAGCATAGAATTATTGACTTTCAAGGTTCAGTAGGCATGCTTGCAGATAGGTTTTTATCATTACTGGGAGCCTATCTTGCCTCCACTCTTGTGTCATATGAGAGTAAAATTTATTTTCAGCGTCAAAGAATTTGTATCAAGTCATGTGTTGCTCCTTTGTTGTCCAACATTTTTCTTTCACAGGTTGACGAAACACTGGAGCAGGTTTTTAGCAATGCCATGGTTTTTAAAGTTTTTAGATAAGTAGAAGATTTTCTAGTTTTACTAAAAAAAAATGGGATGATTTGACGAACCAAGTAATGGTGGAAAAGGTTTTGAAGACTTTTCAACAGAACAGTCAAGGCCTGTCTTTAATGCATGAGCTGCCTGTCAATGGAATCCTGCAGTTCTTAGATTTAAAATCAACCCTTCATGACAACCATGTTTGCTGGTGTTTTTCCCCCTGTGCGAAAATGAACTTTTACCCATTGGTTCAGCCCACTCAAAAATCATGAAGAGGGGCAATGCAATGCTTTTCCTGGGGTCGGCACTTCAGAAGTCGTGTCCGCATCTCATGTGGTCTAATTTTAATGCACAATTAGCCAGTCTGAAGGTCGCCGGATTCCCTCGCTTGATTTTGTATGCGGTTCTGGAATGCCTTCTGCAGAAGGTAAAAAAAGAGGCCCGGCTGAAGTACGAAAGGATAAAAAATGGCCAGAAGTGGTGTTTTAAATTCATAAGGTTTCACTCAACCTAGAAAAGGTGGCGAGTTGGTATGGTGTACCGCTGGTGTTCACTACCCCAAACAAACTGGCGGAGTCGTGCCCTCGCATCAATGGAAGTCATGCTCAACAGCCGAAAGGCTGCAAAAAGAAGCATGCGCGGCCGTTCACGAAGTGCGCCACTGGAGTGGTTCATGAAATTCCCATATCGAACGGGAATAGCTATGTTTATGTTGGCTACATGGCGCGCTGCATCAATGATTGAGCGAGGAAAGACACACTCCCTGTAAGGAATGAGGACGGTGCACATCTAAGTGCGCATGTTGCAGCTTGTGGACGCACACCAGACTTCACGCAGATTAGGATCCTGGGAAGAAGTACAAACAAGTTAGCACGGGAAATATTGGAGGCATATAACATAATGAAACAAGGTAATAAGTGTGTAAGCGAAACGTCACTAATGAGTCAGAAACACATTACCTAGAGAGCATGTGCCGATAGCCTGATTAAGTAAGAAAAGGGCTGATCATGTTGTGCATGTGTCGATGAAGAGTGGGCTTATATTAGCCTGTTTCCTCAAGGATTAAACAGTTGTAAGTGAGCGCTCGTGGTGTCTATGTGCGTTTCTTTCTCTGTGTGGTTGTTTATTTCGGCGCGACGTTGACTATTTAAGCCAATATAACCTACACCATGCTTGTAGCCAGGGGTGGGGGAATGCCCTAGGCCCCCCTCTCTAAAAAAATCTGATCTGAGGTGTTTGGCCAAAAATAAGTGATGAAAATAGATGGTTTTCTAAACTACCTAGATGAAGACTAAGGCCTTTATCTGCCCCCCCCCCTCCCCCTTCGTAGAAAAATTTACACTGCAACGGACCTGATTTACACCATACATCGATGCCAATCAAATTCGTAATAACCACTACAGATATTGATTACACCAACTCTCGCCAGTTTCCTACCATAATGTGGCTCACCTATAAGCACTGTCATGGCTCCAAGTGTCCTTGTGTGGCTCAACTGCCTTCTGTCGCCTGCGCAGGATAACCCCTTCTTCTTCGACCGGTTTATGGTGCTCCGTGTACTGGCAGTTTGTAGCCGATAGTGATAATGCGGAGGCGGCATCTTCCTCTGGGTGCGGTCCGAGCAGTGGCCAGTTCTGAATGTTGCAGCTTCGACTACGCTGCACGTCTCGTCGATTGCCGGAGGTGTTCCAGCCTCGCAAGTCCAGGCTGAGCCGGCACAGCGACCACCTGTCAACAGAGCAAGCAGCCCGAAAAATAAAACCAAGCCCAGGCCAGAGGGCACTCAACCTGCACTCCTGCCACTTGCTTCCCAGATGAACATATGCGTTTTCGATTGCAGTTTACTGATGACCAACAGCCTCCTCTTATTACGTTAATACCTTGAAGATAATAGATATTTTCCGGCGATATTTCTTCTTTTTGTAAGCCGTTATGGTATTGTAGTTATAGTATATTGTCAAATATTTTTTATTTATGTTTGTAAACATTTTCTTTTTACAATAGGTATTTAGGACATTGTGTTATTGTATTTTCTTGCTTATGATGCGTAATTTGTGACCAGAGCTGATGTTCCCATCACTCACATATGTAATATCCTTGTTAAGAAAGGCATTTGAAGGTATTTTTACAGTACATACTAGCATGGTCCCTCAATACATTTACTGGTCATGAAACTCCCGCATAACTCAATGGGAGAGCTTCATATACCGCCCGCACTTTCCGCGCCGCGGCGCTGGCGTAGCTACAAGGGGGACGAGGAAGCCGCCTGCTGCTGGCCGCCATTAGCCGAGTGTGAGTGCGGAGTGGTTTTGTTTGTGCTGCTTGCACCTTTTGTTTTCTCTTTTCGCGGTCACCTCGTCGTGACAGCGATGCGCAACACCTGCTGTGTGCCGGGCTGTCGCTCGGGATACAAAGGCAACGTCGAAAAAGTCTCCCTGTTCTGTTTACCAGTCGACGCAGAACAACGCTGTTACATGTGTATATTAACTGATGGCCAGGCGGTAGTGACAACCGTGAACAGTAGGCCATCAGGCCCGCGAAGAACACGAGAACATCTTGAGCCCTTAGCCCGGAACAAACAGTTTTATTTTTTCCCAAAACAACCACCCCGCTGCTGTGCCAGGCTTGCACAGCTAAACACAACTATCAGCGCCGCGTGGGGGCACTGCATTTGAACCAACATTGTAACACTCCTCCCCTCTTAGCAGGAAGACTACGGGGAGTACCTATTCACCGGTTTCCTAGTCCTTGTGCCACGTCGCAACTTCGGCGTGCTAGGCGTAGGCACGACAGAGTCACTGTTCACATGCACACCCCTGCTGAGCGCAGTCCCCTCACTCTCTGTGGCACAGCTACTCCCAGAGATGCTAGTTCCAGGTAGCTGTTCCTGATGAGGCACTTCTGGAATAGCTGGCGCATGATGAAGCGGCGGCTCCAACTGTGGTGGAGCTGCAGCGATAGCAGTTTCAGGAGAGGCCAATGTTTCTGTCTGCACAAGGCGCAAGTGGGCGCTGTGTCGGTTTCCCAAGGTGCCATCTTCAAAACGGACACTGGCTGATGATGGAGTGACGTCCACGACACTGGCAGGCACCCAGGGTGTGCCCCTGCGAAAGTTACGTGCGTACACATCATCACCTGGCTGCAGTGATGGAGCCTGCCGGGACCCTCTGTCAGCATACAACTTCTGCTTGAGTTGTTTTAGGAATACAGACGCCTGCAGGCTTGGCCTGAGGACATAGTCTTGAACATTCTTCCTGTCAAGAGTTCACACGGTGGCCAACCTGTCACTTCATGTGGTGTGGTCCTATAGTGGAACAGAAACCTGGAGATCTGCGTTTGGAAGTTCCCAGAAACAGACTTCTTGATTTTGTTCTTCACAGTTTGTACAACTCTTTCAGCTGCACCATTTGAGGCAGGGTGATACGGCGGTACAAGCATGCAGCGTATTTCGAGCTCTTTGCCAGGCTTGTATACAAGTTGATACTTGTAAGCAGACAGCTTCAGAGCCCACCTGACCACTCGAGGTGAAGCTTGCACGAGAACGGGCTTGTTGGCTCCCAGCAGACCAAGAAGTGGCTTGTGGCCAGTGCGTGCTTCGAATGAGATGCCCCACAAGTACTGGTGGAACCGATCCACACCAAACCCTAAAGCCAGTGCCTCCTTGTCGAGTTGACTGTAGTTTTGTTCTGCTTTTGACAAGCTCCTCGAGGCAAAAGCAATGGGATGTTCCCCGCCATCAGCATCTTTGTGCGCTAGAACTGCACCTATACCAGTAAGGCGACGCGTCACAGCTGAGGCAAACAGGCCTGGCAGGGTTGAAATGCACTAGAACTGGAACTGATGTCACCAAGTGCTTGCAGGCATTGAATGCATCTTGTTGTTGAAGTCTCCACTCCTACTTCTTCCCTTCACAAAGAAGTAAGTGCAGTGGACGAAGGAGCGATGAAAGATTGGGTAAGAAGCGCCTGTAGAAGTTTACAAGTCCCAAGAAACTCTGAAGCTCCCTGACATCCTAAGGCACGGGAGCATGCAGAATGGCTGCTACCTTGTCAAGATTCGGGGAAAGGCCTTCCTTGCTGATGATGTGCCCGAGATACTCAACTTGCGGCACGAAGAAATGGCATTTTTCTAGTTTCAGCTTGAGGCCTGATTCCTGAAGCTTGCCAAGTACAGCACGAAGGTTGCGAAGGCGCTCAGCATTATTTGCGCCAGTCACAAAAATGTCATCAAAATAGACTTCTACATGGGGCAGTCCCCTGAACAAGTTCTCCATCTCGCGCTGAAATATGGCAGGAGCAGATGAGACACCAAAAGGCAACCGGGTGTACTGAAATAACCCCAGATGCGTCGAAATTGTGACATACTCCCAAGAGGCCTCATCAAGGACAACTTGCTGGAAGCCATCTCGCAAATCCAATTTTGTGAATTTCTCACCTCCAGCAAGCACAGTCCACAGGTCCTCGATCTTTGGATTGGGGTACTGCTCCACTATTGCCACTGGGTTCATGGTGACACCAAAGTCTCCACAGATTCTGATGCGTCCATCCTTTTTGGTCACAGGAACAATAGGTGCAGCCCACTTTGCTGTCTTGACTGGAACAAGAATGGAATCTCTTCTTAGTCTATGGATTTCTTGAGTTACTCCATCTGTCAAGGCATACGGCAGTGGACGTGGCTTGAAGAACCGAAGCGGAGCATCTGAAGGAACATGTAGAGAAGCTTTAGCACCCTTGAATGTACCCAGGCCTTCTTCAAACACTTGAACCTAGTCTTGGACTAGGTGTTTGACGTCGGAAAGTGCGTGGATGTTCACTTCAACATCGGAGACGCCAATGCCACACTCACGCATCTAGTTGCGTCCAACAAGAGTGGGCGATCCGTCTCCGGTCAGAAAAATAGGTAGGTCAGCCTCTCTGCCATGAAACTTCACACTGACGTCAGCTTTGCCCTGAACCTTTTTTAGTTCCCCGGAATAGCTTCGCAGAAGCACTTGTGACGGCTGCACAGGAACCGAAGGCAAAAGTTGAAGAAGACGCGACTTGGCCATGACAGAGACACTTGCCCCCGTGTCCACTTCCATGCGGAGCGGCTTGCTGCAAACGTCAACAGTGACGGTGAAAGGCGGAGGCGGCGTGGCGTAGTCAACTTGCCACATGTCAAAAACTTCGCAAAATGAAGTGGTAGCGGCGTCCTGTTTGCGTACCATATTACCACGATGATGGTTACTCGACGACGGTGAACTGCAAGCCGAGAATGAACGTGCCTTGGTCAGGCTGTTGCTTTGGGCTTGGCTGTCCTTTCGTCGCCAATTGCACACCTTCACCAAATGACCTCGTTTGTGGCAGTAATTGCAGATTGTCTTCACATGCTTGCATTTCGATGCAAGATGTCCGTCCCCACAGCGGTAGCAGGTGACGCCCCCAAAACCTGACGAGACACGGTGAGTCGAGAAAGCGCTGCTTGTGTTTGCTTGCGCCATCTCACTTGCGTCCCTTTTTGCTGCTTCCATTGCCAGGGCGGTCTGCGCAGCATCGTCGAAGGTAAGGTCCGGTTTTTCCAGAAGTCTTGCTTGGACATCCACGTTGTTTATGCCACACACGACGCGGTCACGGACCATGTTTTCAAATTCAGCCCCGAAGCTGCAGTGCTCGGACAGGCTTTTTAGTGCTGCGATAAAATTGCTGACTGATTCTACTTCCGCGCGAACGCGCGAGTTGAAACGAAAACGCTGCACGACGGCAGAGGGCTTCGGACAATAATGGCTTCCAAGTACTTGAAGGATCTCGTCCAGATTCTTGTCACTGGGCTTGGCGGGCTTGACCAAATTGCGGAGCAAAGCATACGTTTTCTGCCCGCAGCAGCTGATGAACACGGCAGTACGCTTGTCTGGGGCAACATCATTCGCCAGGAAAAATGCTTTGAGCCGGTCCACGTAACAGGGCCAGTCGTCTTCGCCCCCCTCGAATGGCTCGAGGTTGCCGAAACTTGGCATGGTGAACAGATGGCAGAGAGCTGCGGGAACGAAGACTTACATGAAACTTCCTTTCATCCTCGTAGCCAGTTGTTACATCTGCAGATTAACTGATGGCCAGGCGGTAGTGACAATCGTGAACAGTAGGCCATCAGGCCCGCGAAGAACACGAGAACATCTTGAGCCCTTAGCCCAGAACGAACTGTTTTATTCTTTCCCAAAACGGCCACCCCGCTGCTGTGCCAGGCTTGCACAGCTAAGCACAACTATCAGCGCCACGTGGGGGCGCTGCATTTGAACCAACATTGTAACAAACGCGACAGGTGTAAACGTGCAATCCCGCGACAGGAGACTGTCAGATTTTCGTTTGACTCGAAGTATATCCCTAGCAAAAATTCTGATAGAGGTCTGAATCAGTCTGATACAGTTTCCTATAAGTTGTACCAGTCTTGTACCAGACTGATACAAAGTCTTACCATTTCTTATAGACATTCATATCAGTCTGATACATTTTCTTACCAGTGCTACCAGTCTCATATCAGACTGATACACAGTCTTACCAGTGCTACCAGCTTTTGAATAAGTTTGATTGGTCATTTCTATAGGCATATATTAGTCTTTAGGTTTTTAGTCTTTTGTTCATTTATCGGACCTTCAAGATGCATTACTGTCATTTTAACGGTACTTCTTTTTTTGAACACACTGCCCACACATATGTCATTGGTCATTTCTGAATGTATATTAGTGTATCAGTGTT